TTACTCCCTACAGTCTCTAGGTTTCCTATTAAGCATTAGTTTTAGCTTGGACACGAGAAAACTTCCACTAAACAACTAACCCAAACTATTTAAAATCAAGAACAAAAAATCGCCAAAATTGAAGTAATCTGAGAAGCAGACAAACTCAGCGGACCGGAGCAAAATCGAAGAAGAGTGTAAAATGCAGCCTAGATAGTTTAATTGAATTTAATTATGTTTTATTTTTCAACAGAAGGACGTCCATGTATAAACTTCAAATGGAAAGCTACAGATTCAAGAATGGCACAACTGATTCTGAAATAAGAATTATGCACCTATATGAAAAGGGAATTGCATTGTCCATGTAACTTGGAGCTGTCATATCTTACATGAAGCTATTCTGAAGTAACCACTACTTTTTCTCGTTAATCTTCTTCTTGAGCCACCCACTTAGTGCTGTTTTCGTTTTCGTTCACTCCTTCATAGAAGCAGCACTCCTCGTGAAAGAACAAGTTTTGTTGTAGTTAGTATCTCCTACAAATTCTTGTTTTAATGCAGATACGTGTTCCTTTTCGGGAGTTGGAGCACTGCCTTAATTCTTCATTGTTTCTTTCTGCTGATAGTCGTCCAACACTGGAAGCTCTTTACTGAAATGAACATTATTCTGCTCCTCTACAGAAACATCTTGGGAATCACTTTTATCCGTGCTGTTAGATTTTTGTGCTGTTCTGGTCTCTCCCATCACTGGCAACTCTGGTTTTGGAAGACTTAGACCAGGAAAAATTTGCGAAATGCTGAAAGAACTTCTGGTGGCATCACGAACCAATTCTTTCCATGAAGATTTTTGTCGCCATGCAGCACCTCTGACATAAATATCTACAGGTCCATCTAAATTGTCAGTGGAAATTTTATCCAGCTCCTCATGCTGATCTGGTACTTTCTCTTCATATTCAACTTTATCCAGCTCTTCATGCTGATCTGATACTTCCTCATCGCTTGATACGTCATCTTCAGATTCAACTTTATCCAGCTCTTCATGCTGATCTGATACTTCCTCATCGCTTGATACGTCATCTTCAGATTCAACTTTATCCAGCTCTTCATGCTGATCTGATACTTCCTCATCGCTTGATACGTCATCTTCAGATTCAACTTTATCCAGCTCTTCATGCTGATCTGATACTTCCTCATCGCTTGATACGTCATCTTCAGATTCAACTTTATCCAGCTCTTCATGCTGATCTGATACTTTCTCATCATTTGATACTTCATCTTCAGATTCAACTTTATCCAGCTCTTCAAGGTGATCTGATACTTTCTCATCGTTTGTTACTTCATCTTTTTCGTCAGAGGAGAACTCACTAACACCATCAGAGCCATACTGCATCTCTTTACCAGGAATAGCACCCAGCAAAACATCCAATACACTGAATGTAGCACCACTACTAGCACTAACGAGATCTTTCCATGGAGACTTCTTTCGCAATTTGGTACTTCTATTTAATAGCTGGCTATCTCGTTTGAATTCCAAACTCTGCTTTGCTTCAGCTTTAGACAGCAAAGTATGTACCTCACCATCTTTAACCTCTGAAGGTGCTTTATGCTTTCTGTTTGAGGGCATCATCCTTCCTTGCTTTTGTATCTGTAGCAAGTCGTGATTCCTTGGATAGCGAATTCTGAATAGCTGTGATTGCTTCCAGGGTTGGATCTTTGAACATAGTGTTTCTATCCTTTGCACCGGCCACTACATTGATAATAAGGTTTTCATCATCGTCATCGATTTCTTGGTCAACAAAATCTTCATTAGCCTGAATAGCTGTCATTGCTTCCTGGATTGTATCTTTTACCATAGTCGTTCTATCATTTGCACCAGCCACCACACGGAGAATGAGGTTATCATCATCTCCCATTTCTTGGTTGACTAGATTCTTGTCATGATCAACTGTGCCATTTGAGCTTTGAACTTCCTTAGATAATTTAAAATATCTAGGGGTTTTCTCAGAGTAGTTATCCCTCTCAAAAATTCTGTTCAACACTATTTTCATAATATTCAGCTCGTTCTCATCCATTCCACCATTCTTTGAGTCATAATTATAAAGTGATTTTTGTTTGTCTGCATAAGTAGTAACAGAGTGCTCTTCACAATCAATCACAAAAATGGATAGGTAAAGAAGGAACTTCCACTCGCTGAAAACTGTATTTATGCTTGCCAGATCCTCTAAGAGACACTGGTTTTATCTTTCCTAACTTTGGGAAGTAAATCCCAATCTGCGCTTCATCCAATTTGGAGCCTTTCTTCTGACTTTTCAGATGAGTCGAAGGGTTGGAGATGGTCTAAACCACCAACATATATTCTTACCGTTCTCTTCGTTGATGCATTGCCTCCTTCGCCCGTCGCCATCTCTGCCCGTGCTGCCATGTCCAACGCAATCAAGCTCCCTGGTTAAAATTATAGTGGCAGCAAACGAAGTCATCACTTTAATCAATGTTTTCTAGGTAAAAATTATGGGCGAAAATTGGGCGGATTGACTTAAATTTAGACGATCAAAATGGGTTAAGATAATAAATCAGTCAAGACCCCACCTAATTTAAATTTGTTTGGGACAAAATAGATTTGATCAAAATGGGTTAGTAACGGGTCATAACTCAATCTGTCTAATTTTTACTAAGTTTTAATAATTTTATTTGTTATTTTATAAATTTTTAATAACTAATAAAATTACTATTTTTTCTTTAATATAACCTATAAAATAAAAAATAAAAAGCTTTTTAAAATCGTTTTAATAAGATTTTTCAAAAATCAATTTTTAAAGTGGGTTGGATTGAGCTAACTAATGGACGGATTAATAACCAACCCAAATCTAAATAAGTTGGATCGGGTTGGGTGGATTAGATTTGATTTTGGATGAGTTAGGAGAATATGAAAAGACTTGTTATGAGACCAACAATTAGCATTAATTTTTTTTACGTTCATAACGTCAAAATAGTTGTGTAAAATAAGTTTTTCATTATAGATTTATTTACAAATTTAAAATAATTTATTAAATTATATTAATACAACAACGAACTAAAACTAATTTTTTTTTTATCAAAATTTCTAACTAAATCAGATTAGACCAAAAACATTATCTTTTAATATCACAAAATAATATGCGATATTCATTGAAATTCTAATAGAAATTAGAAATTAAACCTAATAAATAGTATAAATTATACTTAATATTTTTAAAAATAAATAAAAGGAAAAAATTTACACTAATTATATGTTAATTCATGTAATGTGCACTCTTTTATTGTAGGCAAATAAGCCGATGCAAAAATGAGATTTCCTACGTCTACACCATTCCACATTTATTTGAATTTATTCCGTTCACATATATTTAAGATTACCTCATTTATCTACGTACTTTATTGCTATTTCTATTCATAATTACTAAAATTAAATAGTTGATGTTTAACACTATACAAAAACACATAATTAACAAGTCAAGTATAATATTTTTTTTGTCAAATATAAAATGTAGATAATTGTACAATTTTTTTTAAAAACGAACAAAATATTCCGTACATGTCAACTATTCTGATTTCGTTTTATTTTTTTCACAATCAATGATGATCTTTATCATTTGCTACCATAGTTAATATTTAAGAATAGGGTAAATAGTGATTTTAATTCTTGATATAATGTGTAATTATAGTTTTTATCCGTGTATTATGGTACTTGTTCTAAATATTTACCAAACTTAATGTAATCACTATTGTACCAAATTGATTAGAAATAGAGATGCTAACTCCAATATTTCATCTGGACAAGGGAGCTCCATTGACAGAGTACACACTTCGTCTGATAGGTTCACCTTCTTTGTCTGTCTTGAAAACTTTTCACAAAAGGATCATGCACAACAAAAATGTTATCGACCAATAATTGAAATATTAATCTTTGGGTTTCTTCTACCAACAGTACAATGATACGACATGAGTTGAGCT